ATCAGACACAGAGATCAACAACAGCCAATTTGTGAAGCAAAGGGATCAGAACGGTACTGTGTAACCACCTCTGTCAATTTTTATGGACACAGCTGGGCTTTATGGGGGTGCTGAAAGTTTAAATCAAAGTGAACATCTACGAGGAAAGAAGTGATCTATCAGGCTTGAATACAAGGAAAGAGCATGGAACATCAGAGGACTGGAACACTCCTAAAATGTCTATTTTTCCAGTTATGTGGGACTAATTATAAAAACAACTTATCTCTGTGAATTTACCTTGTATCATCAGACTGCCGCAGCTACGTTTGTAGACAAATGGCACAGGTATGGAAAACTGTTAAGTTCTTTTCAAGATTGATATTTCTTTCTGTTGCATTTTAAGTGAGAAAATAATCTAATGATTGGGAAAAAAAATGGTATCCAAAGATAAAAGGAAAGGAAAGAAAGACAGAGGGCATGGAAACATGCAATGTCTTCCTGGCTTTATATCCACAGCAGTTAGAAAACAAAGAGGCTGCCTGTAAGTATGCTGAATTGGGGAAAGTTTTGGTAACTGGCCACTCAAAGTCTTGAAAATTCTCATCTTGAGCTCTTCTGCATGAGGGAAAGGAAGAGCAGGGATCAATATGGATGATGCTAGAATTATCACCATTTTCCACACAATGTATTAGTGCTTGTTAGAAAAGATGACGACTGGAAACACACAGAAAAATCAGACATAAGGCTTTGCACTTAATGCCTCTGAAGATTGTCTATTGGGATCTTTTCTATACCATTCACTTAACCATACTGTAATTTTTAAGCCCTTTTTGAAGACCAACCTTATAATTTAGAGTGGGGAATGATTTCCTCAGCGATCAAGCAAAGTGGTTCTGATCAGTTCAGACTTCAATGAGAAATTCAATCACTTCACTAAAATTACTACTTTATACATGAAATTAATGGAAAGTTGTGTTATTGACAGTGAAGAGGGCACCTGCGCTGAAAAACTGTGAAAGAAGATACATCCGTTCTGTTAACTGATCTACAGCTATCGTTGCGGAGGGGTTTCACTGCTTTTTAAGGAGTGGGAGAAACAGCACAGGCAGAGAGCACACACTGCAGTGCATGTCATTGTTCTGTGGGAGGAAGGAAAGTTTTACACATCTGGGAACAGCAGTCTGACAATGCAACACAAAATGCACTCCCTGACCACAGTCCAGCTTCTGCATAAATGTGTATATTAACACTTTCCCCAGCTTGAAGTTGTTTAGTTTTACACATACAGCTTATTTATAAGCAGTATAATTCAACCTACAAATGCTGGGTGACATTACAAGGGAGGACTAAAAAAACATCTGTCAGAATCACCTTGCAATACTGAGAGCACTGTATCAGTTTGCCTACACTACCAAAAGCCGTAACCGTACAATCAATTAGGAGAACTAGCAATCTTGTTTAAATTGAAAATGGTGACATCAAGTTGAACAGCTGCCAAACCCACCATCATTTCTGAAACCATTTTCTAGAGTTAAGTAGCCTTAAGCTGTATTTCTAATATACATATACAAATGTAATGACATGGTTTTTAATGACAGTATGTTTGAGTATCTTAGATAGACATACTACACAAAGACGTTCTTCTATTGTTATATATACACTACAGCTTTGGAATATGAATGCTAACATGAAGCAATTGGTCCAAAATAATAAAAGTAGGTCTTTCCACTTTTTTCAGTAAGACTTTTTCCCACATTTTTTCTTTGTTGTCTTTCTGTTCTCTCTTTTTGTCTGCTTTTTTCACCAGAGTTGAAGACTGTTTACAAGCTGATCTATCACCATTGTCAGCTCTCTTCTTTGCCCTCTTTTTCACTTTGGTTGCAAGAGTAATCACTAAGGTACCACCTACTGTAACTATGAGGCTAAACTTAATGTGCTAGAAAAGCTAGTACATACTCTTATTATGAGGCTAAAATTCACATGCCAGAAAAGCAATGCTTACAGTAATGAACTCTACCTGCACACAGCAAAAAAAAAAAAAAAAATCAAGAGCAAATTAAGAATAAAACTTCAAATCTCTAATCTCTCTGCATTACACATCATCATCAAGATAAAGTTCTGCAGTTCTTTTGAAACACACCAAGTTAATAGAAATCTTGGAAATTTTGGTCAAGTATCTGCTGATACAAATCAGCTTCTGAATATAATGAACACATGGGAGTAGTTGTTGTCAATCAAAAAGCCTCAACTTGCCCTTTCAAGACTCTCTCCATTTCTGACATGCTTCCCCTGCTCAATCTTGAAAAATGATCTTACCTTTCAGGAATTGCTTCTGTCTCTATCCATCATGATCCACATGCAGATAGGGTGGGAGACATATTCACTCAGATCCCTCCCTACATAGATTTAGATGGCTTGCTACTTAGATCCTAGCTGTATACAGGTTCATTAGAAAGTAGCCAGCTATTTGTCTTCATACGATGCCCTAGCAGTCATGTTTGCAAGAACATACATTTAAGTTTCTGAGCTCAAGCTCCCTCTGAGGACGGCATTAAACACCACAGAATTACAACCTAACAACTCCCCCTACATATTGGGGTGAAACCCCAGCCTTACTGAAACTCTCAGTGACTCCAAAGGGGAGGGATTTCCCCTTTTAGTTATTTACAATAACTCTTAACCCAGGATTATATACTGCTTAATACATGAACTTCCTCGCACATTTTACAGCATCGAGTCTAAAAATAAACACTACTGACAATACTATTTTGACTCTTAAAGGTACTTTTATCTAAAATGAGAATGAAAAAACAATGCTACATCTCATTTCTCATATAGCAATGGCTTAAGCAAGCAAACAATGAAAAAATAGGGGTATCTTGTGATCTTAACAGCCATTATTTACTAAGATTGTTCCATCTTCTACATAAAGGTGCAATATTAAACAACGCAAAGAAAAATAATCAAAAAAACAGTTGGACATAAAACACCTATAGTTTCAAAAGAGCTGTTATCTAATTAATTTTACTATTAGAGTCAAGATTACACTTGCTTAAAGAAAACATGACAAATTCACGTTACCAGAATGATATGATGTCATCAAAATCTGACTAAGCCAGAAATCATGAATTTATAAGAGGCCAAATCCTGCCTTCCTGATTCATGTACGAGTTTGATGCAGTAGATATTCACCCCTAGTTTACCTCTATCAACCAAGAAAGATCTAGCCCACTGAACTACAACACTCGGGAGTTTAAGGTAAGAAATATTTGGCCCAAACTCTCTCTCAATAACACAAGATACAATCTACTCTATGTAGCCAAAGCAAAGCTTTATTGATAAAAGCAGCTTTATGCAAATGGTCAGCTATAAATTACTTCTAAAGCTTTGGCACTGCAGTGTTCAGGCATCTATTTAGAAATACTATTTTGTTCTTTTTGGATGCTTATCAGATACCTTATCAGATAAAGCTTTGTTCATATTAATCTAATTATTCATGTTTTTGCTAAGTTCTTTCCTGTTGGAGCTTCTTGCAAAGTGACTGCAAACTGTTTCATTGTCTGAATAAACTGAGTGACTCCAAACAACTTTTTCTAGAAGAGGAATACATTAATGATTGGGAGCTCAGAATCCTTTTAGTCTTCAAAGCCTTCAAAGGATTTAAAAAATAGAATTTAACTCTTCCCCTTCCCCCCTTTGAAGTGGGCCAATTTTAGTAAAGCAACTTAGCCTCAGGTTTCTTCAGAGCTACTGCATTACACTATTCTGTCCAATACCAGAAGTACTAACAGCTTAAAACATTACCAAACAACGGTAGTCTGAAAACTTGTGTTTAAGAAAAAATCAGAACCAAGTGAAGTTTTTTCTGCAAAAATTAATGTGGTATCTTCCTATTTACAGGCCCCAAATCTAGAACTACTATTTTATTCAAATACTGGCCAGAGTGGAAGACAGAAAAGTTGAGAGAAAAATCCATGGGAAAAAGGCTTAGATATTAAAAACTCAAAACATTCATTTTACATAATTTTAATGACTGTTGATCTTTTTACACTTACTCACTTTACTCATCATAAACTTAGCCAATTTAAGAGCAAATAGGCGTCTCTCATTTCAGTGATACTTCTTAGGAAAGACTGAAGAAAGAAAGGCAAATGATCTAAATCAGGAATATGTTTTCATTCCAAAAGAATGTGAATTAATAAATTTTGAGATAGTCCCAAATTTTCCTGTAAACCCCAAAACTTCCACTTATATTAAACATTTGGAGTGTATTCAGCCTTAGACATACTACATTTAGGTGTCTGTACACAGCTCTTTATATTTAAGCTCTTACTATTAAAGGGGATGTAGTCAGCACAGTTTATGAAGCCACAAACGTGGTTCAGTTCACCCCAAAGCACACATCTACATGTAACTATATAGAGCTGAGTAAGGATTCAGTCTCCTCTGACTGCAAATGAGAGCCAAGGCAACCAGCTCATGTGGAGACACACACAAAGACCTCATTTTAGGTGTTGGGTGTTGAATCCTATCCTTGGTTTCAAAGCAGTCAAAACTTTGTTTCTGTTTTTCTTAATAATATGAAGTAAAGTAAATTCAAAATGAAAACAGAAGTATCAGTTGTATATAGTGACATTTCATAAAAATTGACATATTCCATAATAAAAGTCTAATTTTAATAGAACAGCTTTCCTGAAGACAAAACATTTCATGAGGGGGATAAAAAACAACCAGAACAGACCTACTCTAGTCCACAGAAAACAAAAAAATAACTAAGGAGTTTCCTTCCTTTTTCTCCTTTAAGGCAATAATCCTAATGGATATAATACTCTAATCTTGTTAGGAGAGTGTACATGTACTCCAGAATTAAATCCTCATGAACAGGTACTCAATAATAAATAATTCTGGAGCTCACTGAAAAGTTAGAACACAAATGTTAACTACTGGAGGAAGGACCTCAACAGCAAAGAGACACTAAAATAAGAGAAAAATTAATACTAAATATAAAGTTGTTTTCCTACCTGTGTGCAGACAAATTACTGAGGTACAGGGTGTATTTTTCTTCAGCAGACAGCCCATCCATCATCAAGTAAAACACACGAAAATTTCTCTGGTTGAGAGGCTGCATAATGACACGAGACTTCTCCAACATGTATGTATAAATCCTAGCTGATTGAGAAACAAACAAATAAATTCATCATTATACTGATTGCTCTAAACATGTATTTTAAACCATTCACCACTGCAACAGTGAAGAATAAACAATATTTCTTATAAAATGGTCTAAGGTGAGCATTCAAAAATACTACTATTCATTCTACCATGGTTTTCTATATAAATCACATATAAAGCCCTAATTCCATTAAAATTAGTGGAACAAATGTCTTACCGTACTTACTTACTGTCTTACATTATCTTTAAAATTACTCAATTTTAAAGATAATTATGTTGATTTGTACTCTATTTGAGGAACCAGCTGTTGTATTTGGCAAGACTTTCTAAGAGACAAGCTATCAGTCATCTCACTGAAGTGTAGCCATCTGAGCATTGGCATCTATTCTAAGCTTCTTCTCAATGGAAAGAGAAAGATGCAAGACAGATTCAAGACATCTTGGAAAAAACACCCTTGGAATCATTTCCTCTTTCTCTGTTGGTAATCAAGAACACTCAGAATAATAGTTTAGATGAACCACCTAACTTCCAGATGGCTACAAACAGACAAATCCTCTGCAAAACCAGTCATCAACAAGCTTGCGAACATGTGCCTGGAGAAACACGGGCAACTCAGAAGGGCTACAATGAGCTGGCCAAACAAGAAGCCATGTGAATCAGCACATCTGGGAAGAAGGTGAAGGAGGATGAACCTGACCACGATTTGACTACAGAAATGCTGATTATAGGATCATACATAACCTCAGGCCCACTAAGGTTCTGAAAGAGGCAGAGCACAGAAGCAAAGGAAATACTAGCCTCTCAGGTCCATTCACCTGCCTCACCAGATTACAGGCATTTTAGAGGTATATTTGAAGAGACAGAGGGATATTCACCCTGTTGGGCAGGTTACTCTTCAGCCCTCCACTGAGTGTACACCACCATGCAGTTCCAGATGCAGCAGGCTAAAGAGAACAAGGGAATGCCTAACAGTAGCTAGAGGTCAGGGCCCTCCCTGTGAGCTGATTCCAGTTCCCACTTACCCCACTGTTTGTATACTTTATCTCATCATTGCTCAGATACTAGCCATGGTGCAAAGACCAGAAGCATGTCCCTTCGCACACAACTGAGCACCCCCACGGCTAGGATGCAGTACATTCTCTTGCAGCTTTATGCTTTTCAATCTCTGCAATATGGCAGAGCTTTCATGGGGTCTTAGAGAGCATCCTTACCCTGGAAAAGACTGTTGAGTTTAGAGGATAAGGTGCGCTTCTCAGCAATGGGCGAGCTGTATTTTTGAAACCCTGTAAACAGAGGATATTAAACCATAGCTTCCCATTGTCTGGAAGACAACCAACTCATCTTAGACTCCTTCCTTTATGAACTAGTTCTTGAACATTCAGTGATAGAAAATACTGGTACATGCATCCTGCAGCACAGTAAGTATGTTCTCTAAACACATACCATTTTTGAGACAATCATGGGTTTTTTTAGGATTTTTTTTTTGGTTTTACTTTTTTTGAAGCAAGCTGGGATTAGGCATAAAATAGCACTGAGTTATTTGGTGCAGTCAAAACTGTTGCATTTCTAGGCATATGCAGAAGCACAACTTCAGATGCCTGAGACCTGAAGTTTGAAGGCTTAGTGGGAGTTTAAAGACTTCTGAAGATGGGGATAGTTGAAACAGCATTTTCAGAACCAGTTTTGGACTCAAAGATATCGCCCTATGCAATATTGAGCAAAGTTATGCAGATTAGATCTTGCATGCGAGAGTGTGTATCAGAAGCACAGTAGTTGCATTAGCCTAATGGCTAGGCTAGAAGTCAGAATGTCATGCTCCTGCCACCATACAGCTGCTAATATCCACAGTAGCTCATTCAGAGCTAGCCTGGTTATTGCTATACCATCTGTATTTGGTAATTATATTTTAATTTTCACCTAAATATCTTCCTGTCTTTTGGAGAGCTCTAAATTCCTGTCTAAACTGTTAAATTAAACACAGCAAACTTGAAGTTACTTGAAGCTGTGTGTATGGGGGAATGCAGCCTGTGAGAACATGCTTGAAGGACAGTGTACAGTGGAGGGAAACAAAATCAGTGAATCTTGAACATATCATTTTGAGAAAGGTCTCAGCAGTTAAATGCTGTCCCTGAACTAAGCGTAACTATGCATGGTCTCAGCAAGTGCTACTCTGCACAGCCCAAACCATCCCAGACACATCCCAGTTAAGCAGTATGGAAGGTCAGTGGTACACAACCCAGGGGCATCTTCCACCCTTTCTTTTATTTAACAGAACAGGCGTGGCCTGACACATGTGCTGGCAACCAAAACCATGACTGGGATTCTAGCTCCAGAAGAGACAGCAGGACTGACAGAGAAGGGTTGTATGGCTGACTTACCAAACCAAGGGGACATGATCTACCCCTTTTGTCCATCCTACAAAAAAATTAGAAGTGAACTCCTGCTACTATGGAACCTATACTATGAGAAATTGTGTCTCAGCCATCTAGCCCTCTGTTGTTATGCTATGGAAAAAAGAACTGTGCTGGAAGTAAAAGGGCACACTTGGGAAGTCATTAAGCTGGTAGCAGGATATGTTTCTGGCTCCAGTAACTTTGCAGCACACTACAAATTGAAGCAATGCAGCCTTAAGCTATCGTGGCAGGACTGGCCCAGACACACACTTTCATCAGAATCAATCATTACCTGGCTGCAATTCCTACAGGGTAAAATAAAATAGATGAACCTGAAGGATGCTTTCCATCTTCTATTGTGCTTGTAACTTACTTATCAGTAAAACTAACCCTACCATCAATTAACTTGAAAAGAGGCCATTACTAACCTTTAATCACTTTTTTGTGTGCAATGATCTTCACTGAGGCTTTCATAACTATCACTTAGGTGTTTTTAACATTCATTCATTAATAAAAGCAAGAAAAATGTTACTGGAGGTCATCTATCTGATTAATTAATACATTTAACTTCAACAACAGGCAACACCACTTATTTAGATGACACAAATTAATTCAGCCCTTTTCAGGTACGTCAAGTCACCCACTTTAATAAGGCTAAATACAATTCATCTCAGTTAGCATCTCCAGCAATGGGAAGAGCTGTTAAGAAAAGTCGAGCTTCTGATCAGCAAGAATCAAACAGAGCACCATCTTAATGGACCTACAGGAAGAAAACCATTAGGGCAATACGCTTTTCTACAAAGTGAAATGGTACGTTCATTAACCGATGTGTGAAATAAAGGGAAAAATAGTAGAGTTCCAGAGCAAAGTCTGCCATTTT